TGTCCCAGGAGTCAGGACCTGCAGCAGAGCCACGCTCCTAGGAACCTAACAAAAACAGCTGGCCTGTAGTTGGCTGCCTGATTGACTAGATCGCCTGATTGGTTTGAAGTGTCAGCAGCCCAGCACTTAAGCCCAGCAGCAGTTCAGTGTCTCTTCAAATCATGTACTCATGTCTGAGCTAGCTCCTGTGTGTGCTTGTTCCAGCCCTGCCCCACTTCAGGGAACCTGTTTCTGACCCTCAGATCTGATTCCTAATTTCAGTTCTGGCACCTAGCCTCTGACTGTGGCTCTGACCCTGGGCTCTGGTGCCTGTGCCAGCCACCAGGCATGACTGCCCATGTCCTGGCCACTGACACCATGGCAGTGCCAGTGTCCTCACATAAGCCTTTTTAGCCATCATAAAGGTGAGAGGAACCTCAGCTAGGATGAGAGGATAGTTGTACCTCTGCATATTTAAATCTTCAGTCCACTGGAATTTCCATATTCTCCATTTACTTTTCCCTGCCCATCTCAAAAGCTTGACACTGAGTGAAGTGATCCTCTTTCAAGGTCTGTTGGCTCCATCCTGGATGCTCAGATGGGATGTCTTTGTAGGGGTGCTGGAACAATTTGTATAGTGGGGTTGCTGAGAGCCATTGAACCAAACTGTATATAATGGAAACTGCTACTACTACTACTTTAAACCAGGAGTGTGGTAGCACCCTGTGCACCTCTAGTTCCAGCACTTTGTAGTGTTCTCATCCCTTGCTCATCTGGGTACGGTGACCAGATAGCAAGTGTGAAAAATTGGGACACTTTATTTTTGGGGGGGTGGGGTGGGGGATAGTATATTGTTGCCTGTATAAGAAAAATCCCCTAATATCAGGATGTCTGGTCACCCTAGATATGGGGAACTTGGGGCCTGAAATTTGACACTGTGCATTGCATAGCTACAAGCTCACCCAAATGGCTTTGATGGTGCATTCTGGAATAAAATAGTCTGTGACCCACAATTCTCATGTTAGACTATTAAACAGGCTTTGGATTTGTAATGATTTTGTCACTACCAATGTGAGCTGGATTATTCTACACCATGTTTGTGAAAACTAGTATTTCTTTGTATTCTACCTTTGTTTTCCTTTAAATAAAGGGCACGACACAGGCTACTGAGCTATAAAGGCTATACAAACCAAGGGGCTCTAATGATATTGTGCCAACTCCATGAGGGAAGGCTGAGTAGCTCATGCTGGGATAGGAACCCAGAAGTGTGTGTGTAATTTTTAGCTTTATTCACCAACTTCCTGTCTCGTGTTTTTTACCTAGTTGAAGGATATGAACAGGAATATCATGGCTTTTACTAAAAAAATTATATATAAAATGTGTCTTCCCTTCTGCAATTTTATAAAAAAAAAATCTGAAAGAAAGAAAACAGGAGGAAAACTTTACATGTTTTTCTAATTCCAGTTTGTTTTTTAAACAACTGTTAATAGTTTGTATTTGGTAACATGGTAAATTAGTCAAATGTCATAGGTTGAATTTAGTCCAACTCCAAATGGTTAATACTACAAAACCGTGGTGGGCAACCTGTGGCCCATCAGGATAATCTACTGGCGGGCCGCAAGACAGTGTTTACATTGACTGTCCACAGGCACGGCGGCCCACAGCTTCCAGTGGCTGTGGTTCGCCGTTCCTGGCCAATAGGAATTGCTGGAAGCAGTGCGGGTGGCCATGCTTGTGGATGGTCAATGTAAACACTGTCTCGTGGCCCACCAGCGGTTTACACTGATGGGCTGCAGGTTGCCCCCCATTGCTATAAAAGGTGACTCACATTTTTCTTGTGCTCAAAGGATCAAATTCAACTATCACTGAAATCGGTAAAAGACTCCCTTTGACTGTAATGGGAACTGGATCAGACCCTAAATGAAGACAGATTGTATTGCTTTGATATCACAGCCTTGCAATAAAGCTTTCTGATGATATCATAGCTACAAGATAAGCATTTATTTTACTAGCTGGCATTAGGATTTTTGCTACATCCATTAAGAATAATACAATAGACTCAATACATTAAATAGAATAGAACATGATATGCATTTTTATGCCTCTGATTTTAATTTCCATATTGTACCATGTTTTTTGTTTGTTTTTATTTTAGCCTTCGTATATGTGATACTAGTGAATTGCAAGAGGGCTTATAAAAGCCATGGAACAGTGGTATATAATATTACAGATAAAGCTTTGAAAAAAGTGCAAATAAACTAGCTTAAAAGTATTGATGTTAAAGTGTTTCAAGTTGCTGGTAGCAGGGCTGGCCTTACCATGAGGCGAACTGAGGCAGCCGCCTCAGGTGCCAGACCATGGGGGAGGGGGGGGGCGCCACTAGGACCCAGAGTGTAGAAAATTGTGTCTGCTGCTGTATTCTCTCTGCTCTAGATGCACAGAGAGGGTGGAGTGCTGTG